CCCCTCTATGTGTATACCTTGAATATTCCATTTGGCTGTTCCTAAGTTGTATCCTTTATAATAATTTGGTAAATGGAAGGAAAAGACTCATCTAAGGACCATGAGCCATTCTATCGAACTGCTGATCCTGAGAATGGGTAGGTGTGAAAACACACACACGCGCGCGCGCGCACACACACACACACACACACCCCATGAGCCATTCTATTGAACTGCTGATCCTGAGAATGGGTAGGTGTGAACACACACACACACAGAGCTTCATACCTATTCAGTCAAATACCTGTGCCCAGACATTTGATTGAAGTCTTATAGGACTGAGCCTTTTTACCTAAGGAGTCTGACACTATCTTAGGTTGTTAGTCTAATAATATTTAAATTGTATGATACCCGGTTGATGACCAGAGATGACTTTACATACTACCACATTTGGTATGTCAGGAGTGGTCTGTGAGAGTGCAAACTCATCTTTTTATTAATTAATTTTATTTTATTTGTGAACATACTGTACAGAGGGGTTACAATTACATGGGCAAAATAGTGCATACATTTCTTACCAAGCATTGCAGGTTCCTCCTTTGTTTACCCTTCACCTCCCTTCCCAGCCTCCCCCTCTCCCCCCCCAGCAAACTCATCTTTTAAATAGGATCTCGTTCACAAGTTGTTCACAAATTCCAGGTCAGGATGCAGACAAAGGTTTTGTTTTGTTTTTTAATGGGGATTGAATCTGGGGCCTCAGCATACCAGGCAACCACTACAGCACTGAGACAATTTTTGTGAGGGGCACTACTCAATTACTACTGCTTGATGCTCACCTTTGTATTCTGTTGTCAAAGAGTGCTTGTGTTTGCCTTTTCCTTGCCTCCTTTAGATCTGGGCTGTGTGGTCATTCCTCAGGAAAATGACCCCTTACTGCTGCTCTTGCTGGCCCTCATGGTGCCTTGATGCACATTTCACATTGCTCCTGGGGTTTGGCTGAGTCCCAAGGACTCATACCTGGCACAATGCCCAGCAGGTATTAGATGCACCATACATCTTGACTGAACAGTAAGTAGGTGGTCAATATGTACATTTGTCTGGGCCTAAATTGCTTGGGTTCAAGAAATCTTCTGAACCCTGTTGTCATAAGAATTTTAGGTAGAGCTGAGGAACAGTAATTATATTCCTATGGCCAAGAATTTCTGCCTTTTCCTAGCTGTGGGAGTCCTTCCTACCCTCTGCCTGCTCCCATCCTGACACCAGCCATTCTCAGTCTGAGGCATGGAGCATCAGGTAATCTTTGCCTCCTACATGTCTGGAAGCTTAGGCACAGATAGGTTAACAACATTGTAGGTGCTGATTGGATAAGAGTAGATTTCTTTTCTGCCACACTGGAGTTATATACTCAACTGGTAGAGGAAGATGGCAGCATTTAATGTCAAAAACCACCAGCAAACTGGTGATTCATTGTCACCAGCCAGCTGAAACCAGATTCCAAGTGGGGTGACAGCTGGTTATGTAGGTCAGTCTACCTCCTCTAAGTAAGCCCAGCAGTGGAAATGCCTTTTCCTCCATATTCACTGTGATGAGGGCTCCCTGGAGAGCAGCAGCATTGCATAGGCCTAAGTGGAGCAGGCTCCTCCTTCCTGATTGCCATTTCCCAGCTGGCTGGGTGGTGGTAGTAGAGGGCAGGATGGTACCTGGCCAGCCTCAGGGTTTCTGTGTGGCATATGCTGATTCATTACCGTGACCCCTCCTTGCCCAGGCAGGCACTAGGGTTTTCTATTCTCAGGTGCTGGTCTAGTGATGTCGTTGCTGGGGTTGCAGCATGGAACTGAGAGTTCCCAAGATCTTAGGGTGCTATGGGTGCTTCTCTAAGCACAGGTATTGTTCCTGAGGTAGCTAAATAGATGGTGGATATCTCACTTCAAAGGAATTTTGACCCACTTTATTGAAGAGATAGCTACAGGCTGGCAGAAAGGAGAAAGTGAAAAACTACACAATGCAACACATACTCAGAAAGTGCAGTGACCACTCACTGCCTGTGGCTCTGGCACTAGACAGCACTGATGTCCTTCTGCAATGGTACTCTGGGCCTTCACAAGAGTTAGACTTTTTTTCCTCACTGTGTTGCCCAGGCTGGACTCAGTAATCTGATTTTTTTGGCTCCCTGAGCATCTGATACTGTCAATGCATGACACCCATGCCCAACTTTTTTTTTTTTAATTTGGATGAAACTCAGCATGAAATTACCTTTCTATTTTTGTGAAAGAATCCTTGCAGTATAGTCCTGGGTAAAATCAAAATCACAATTCTCCCATATCAACCTTCTGTGTGCATATGCTCCCTGCCTGGGTCAAAGTGACTATTCGAAGTAGAGTGATGCAGTGGCTTTTAGTCTAGGCTTTAGTTATTCAGGAACCACCTCAAATTAGTCCCACATTTTCTTCATCACCCAAAAGCAAATACATATCCATTATTCTCTTTCTGTGTTTTTGCATTCACCTATTCTGGATATTTCATATAAATGGGATTATGTGATATGTGGTCCTTTGTGGCTTTTTTGAAGTTCATCCATGTGTGAATGAATGAACTTCTTTCCTTTTTATGGTTCAGTGATAGTGCGTTGTAGGGATATATGAATATTCATTTATCAGGTGTTTGGGCTGTTTGCACCTTCTGGCCATTAAATTGATTCACATTGGTTTGTTTTTTTCCTGGTTCTGGAGATCTAATACAGGACCCTGTGCATGCCAGGCAAGTACTGTACCACATGCAGTACCCCTGGACCCTTGGCTATTATGAATAGTGCTGCTGCAAACAGTCCAGTATGTTTTTGTTTAACACCTGTTTTCAATTCTTTTGGTTATGTATCAAGGGGAGAATTGCTGGGTCATATGATTCATAGCAGGAACATTCAGAAGTATCTTCTCTTTGGAATATGTTTCGGAAAGAGATTAAGTAAGGATCACTGAGAGTTACAATTTTTTTTTGTGTGGTGCCAGGGATCAAATCTAGGGCTCAAACATACCAGGCAGGCACTCTTACTGCTAAGCCTCCACATCAGCTCAGGAATTATAATTTTATTCATTTTTAATACAAGTTTAACTTTCTTAATGCCTGTAGTGGGCTCTGTCTTTGACTGTTTCTAGTTCTCTACATACTCCTGGTTCTTCAGTGTGTTACATACAGATAACTGCCTTTCAGAGATACCTCCTGGTGATTATGTCACTGCATGGTCATGGGACTGCTAGTTCCTACCTTACAGACTTAATCTACCTCACTGACTCGTCATCAATATGCCTCAGTGACCACCTCTCAGTCAATTTCAACTCTTGGAACGTGTACATGCTTGCCTCAAGCCCACCAATTAAAATGCCCCATGGGAAAATTGTTTGAATAATTCCCTGGACCCATTGGCCATGGACCTTGCTTTTTCTCATGTGTACTTTCATGCATCCCCCCTTTCCATATACATACACATCATTACATCCATGTCCTTGGACCCCAGACTGTGTTCACCCTTAGAATCTGTGAGCAATAATCGTCTTTTTTTTTGGGGGGGGGTTGGTCGTGGGGTTTGAACTCTGGGCCCGGGCGCTGTCCCTGTGCTCTTCAGCTCAAGGCAAGCACTCTACCTCGAGCCACAGCACTACTTCCTGTTTTCTAGTGGTTTATTGGAGATCAGAGTCTCACAGACTTTTCTGCTTGGGCTGGCTTTGAACTATGATCCTCAGATCTCAGCCTCCTGAATAGCTAGGATTACGGGCATGAGCCACTGGCGCCCAGTAAGCATTAAAATTTTTATTTCCATCTGAACTACAACAGTTATACAGATGCCTGTTAAGTTCAGTTCAGTTAAGCTCTACTTGCCTCATACAGTTAAGTTTTATCTATTTCTTGCTCTGAGACTCAGTTTTCCTGTCTGAAAAAATGATGACCTGAAATTTTGTGCCTATGAAGGTGGCTATGTGGTTTCACAGAGATGAAAAGTTTGTTTTCTGCTCCATAGGGAAAAACTGGGAGAAAGGGAAGAAGGAGGGGATGACATTGCCCAAAAAGAAATTCTTTTTAAGTTTTATTTTGTTTTAATTTTTAAAACTGATACTATAAAGGTGTTGTACAGAAGAGTTACATTTGGGATGACATTGTTTAAAAAGAAATGCACTCTTAACCTGCCTTATATAACTGTAACTCCTCTGTATAACACCTTTATAATACCAATTAAAAAATTGAAAGTAATAAGCCAGGTGCTAGTGGCTCACTTCTATAATTCTAGCTACTCAGGAGGCTGAGATCTGAGGATCATGGTTCAAAGCTAGCCCTGGCAGGAAAAGTCCGTGAGACTCTTATCTCTAATTAATGACCAGAAAACCAGAAGTGGTGCTATGGCTCAAGTAGAGTGCTCACCTTGAGCTGAAGAACTCAGGGACAGTGCCCAGACCCAGAGTTCAAGCTCCATGACTGACAACAACAACAATAATAATATTTGAGTGCACCAAATGCTAGTGGCTCATGCCTGTTACCCTACCTACTGAGGAGGCTGAGATCTGAGGATCGTGGTACAAGACTAGCCTTGGCAGGAAAGTCTGATTCTGTTACCTCCAATTAACCATAAAAGGTTGGAAGTGGAGCTGTGGTTCACGTGGTAGAGTACTAGCCTCGAGCACAAAAAAGCTCAGGGACTATACCCAGGCCCTGAGTTCAAGCCCCAGTATGAGCAAAATAATAACAAATAATAATATATGGATGCATATAAGCCCAAATGTTTATTTCCTGTTGCCCCTTCTCAAGGGCAGATGTGCTACAGGCAATGCCCAGTTGTCTAGAGAATAAGCAGCAAGCAGCTATTGATCCCCCTCTCACTTTCCTGGTCTCTGATTATTGGATTGTGAAGATGATACCAGAGTCCCTGTGAGATGCTTGCTGCTTGCCTGTACAGGTGGCATGTAGGCACTTCCTGACACAACCCTCTAGCCCCTCATTGTCTCCTAACACATGCTGTTTCTTTGTACACACAGATGCCTCATTTGGAACGCCTCCTGGGTACAGCTGTGCTGCGGACCGGGTGGAAGAACAGCGCCGGCATCAAGATGGGCTACCCTACATTGATGACTCACCTTCTTCCTCCCCCCATCTAGGAAGTAAGGGCAGGGGCAGCCGGGATGCTTTGGCCTCAGGAGCCTTGGACCCCACCAAAGCGGTGAGTCACCCCACAGAGGTACACCAGCCACCTGCCTCCTTGGGCCAGGTGTGAAACAGGGAAGAGTGGTGGTGAGCTTGGCTCTGGGCCAGCCTGTGTCATTCGAGAGGCTTCTTGAAGGGTAGCCATTTGCTCAGGGACATGTGGGTAGCCAGGAGATGATAGTTGTCAGTGTTTGGAAGTGTGGGGCAATCACTAAAAATCTCCCTCATCCCAGCATCTGAAATGGGAGACAGCCTACTAAACACATTGTTTAAGGAGATTATGGGGCACTTTAAAAACTGATTGTATGCCAGAGGCAGCCCCCCTCGACTACCACATGGTGGTCTCAGCAGATGCTCTGTCACATACTCTGACATTCCTCATAGCTGACCCCTTCCTTGGCAACATCACCTCACAGTGGTCACAGGCTGGAGAATGCCATTCCCAGGGAAGTACTGAGCCTGCTCAGCCTAGCATGCTTTCTTGTGATGCATGCATGCACACACACACACACACACACATACCTGTACATATACCAATGAGCAAAATGAGTATGCCTTTCTCCTTGCTATAAGGAATCTATATATTTTCACTACAGTTGCTTTTCTTTGGGGCTGCTTTCTATTTATGTTTTGTGATTTCTAATTATGTTGGTGTCAGTCTGAAACATGAAGATGAGAGGAAGCTAGTGTTCTAACACCTCTTTGCATGTGCCTCTTCCAGCCTATGTCCAGTGTCACTGTCCTACATATTAGGAAATAGATTCAGAGAGGAGTACTTTCCTCAGGGCCACACAACTCTGAGCTGAAGCCTTCCTGCTTCTTTCTAAGGTGCTCCTTTCTTCAACTTCCTTGCCTTTCTCTTCCTCATCCTTCTCTCGCTGCCTTGTGAGCATGGTTTGATATCCATGTGTATCCTTTCAATAAGTTGAGTCCTGATTTGGGGATGCTCATCGTGGTCCATCCATCATCATCCCTGAGAGCGCTTCATCCAACCAGCCCTGAATGTATCTTCTGTCCTTGAGAAGAAGCTGATCTGTTCTCTCTCTGCTCAGGCCTTGTCCAGCTTGGCCTCTTATCTCAGTCAGCTCCTGACATGGATTATGACCCCCGCCTTTTAGCACCTGGTTTAGGGGCTTATCTGTAGAACTCTCATCCAGATCCTGTTCCCTGGCCCCTCAAGAGTTAATAGACTACTCATGTCAAACATGTGGCATATAATGCAGAACCAGGTCTGGAGTTCCCAATCCTAAGCATTCCACTTGACCCAGAATAGTAAGTGTGAGGAGAGAATTTGATTTGATTGGAGAAACTTTACTCAGTTTCCTTCCATAGCCTTCTGGTTAGGTACTCTTCCCAGTGTTTAGGGCCCCAGAGGTAGGTTCCCTTTACTGACCTGGAGATAGGGATAGCCTTGGCTTTCTGGTTTCTCTGACAGCTATGCAGACTTTCTTCTTTCATTTTCAGTCTTTGGTTTAAAAAAGGCATGGTTGGCCTTCCCTGGGGTCCCCAGGAAGAATTCTGAGATCTGAAACACCCTGACCCCAACCAGCATGGGTTGGAGACTTCATCCCTCCCTTTCCCTGCTTTGTTGGCTGGAGCTCTTCTGTCCTCTAGCTCCTGCTGTCCAGCTTTCAGACAGTTGGGTCAGGGGCATTGAGAGAACTTTCCTGGAAATGCTATGACAACACAGAGGTCTTCTGAATTATAAATCTTCTTCACCAGCACCCACCCTCAGAATAGGTCAGAGTTGAAACCAAGGCCAGGTACCCTCTTGCCCAGGGAGTAGCAAAGGCCTCAGACAGGTAGGATATTTGAGAGAATATATGCTTAATGGAGCCTGCTCAGCCTGCCAGGTCTTCCATTCAGAGGACTATAGCCAGTGCCCTATAGTAGTAGGGCACCCCAACATGTGACCCTGCATAGAGGCCAGCCCTTTACCCTTTGATTATGAAGGCCAGGCCTCACAGTGTTCATTGGCTGGGCCCCTGGATGTTGCCAACCCTGTGGCTGATAGGGTTACAGAACTGCTGAAAGTAGAAGGGAGCCCTTTGCCCAGCAGTTGGACTTGTTGGGAACTTTTAGCTGGGACAGCTGCTGCCTTGAAGCTAGGCTTTTGCACCTTAATTATTAATACTATCCCCTAGACTTGATGGAGGGGGGGGGGGCAAGTGCCCAGCAGAGCATACTCTCCAACCCTCAGATCACCAGGCAGCCAGCTGGCTGACAGGTGGTAGTTTTATCCACTCCACTCCCATCAGCTTTCATACCTTGTCCTGAATCCAGATGATTTTCTCTCAGTTTTGTGTTGGCTTTTTTCTGGCCTCAGGTTAGACTGTGGGCTTTTCTCCACTTTGCCTCCTTCTTCTTTCAGTTTACCTCTGGCTTCCTCTCCATCATGGCTTCCCTGCCTACCTGGCTCTGAGTGCATTCACTTGCCCTTTCTTAGAAGTGGCATGTGCACAGTCCAATCCTGCCCTTTGCTCTCCTTTTTCTCCTCTTTTACTTCCTCCCCTCTTCTATGAGATGGAGCTGGCTGGTTACTGAACCATTTCTGCCACTCATTCTAAGAAGTAGCCTTGTCCTGTATCTTCTTTCTACCCCAGCACCTTCCCTGGGCCAGATGGCCTTACCAGCAGCCCTGCCCTTCAGAACAGAGAGAATGGGACTTGGCTCCGTCCTGCCTATGCTGTTTTTCCTGTTGGCTTTCCAAACTGTGTGGGCAGAATAAGGCATGAAGTTCCCACCCAGGCACTCCCACCCACTCAGGCACAGGCATCTTGTGCTAGGCAAGGCCTGTGGAATCCCTCCCTGAGAACTGCTGTCCCCCTGGAGCTCATAGTAGCAAGATTGTTCCCAGATCAGGAAGAGTGGGTGAGTGGGTGGCTGCCATTGCTGGAGAGGACTGCCGTTCCTTTGCTTCTTCCCTTGTGATCCAGACACGGTGGGAGGCACATGTAGAGGGAGCTGAAGACTACTTCTCCAGACCCTGCCATTTGTGCGATGCTGAGAGGATGAGTCACACCCCTGCCCGCTATCTACATTGTACAAGTAGCAGACTTGTTGGTAGCACTAACAGGTTCTCAGTTCCTTGCCATTAGCTTCTATTTCTGGGACCTACTTGATTCTAGAGGAGGTTATAGAGCATCTGAAGAAGCCCTCCAGGCTTCCTGACATGCAGCCAGAACTAGGACCTGGCTAGATCTTCTAGAGGTCATTTACTGATTAAGTTATGAAATGAGTTTTAATTGAGCACTCTGTGTTCCAGGAATTGTGCTAGGCATGGGAAATTTTAAGTTCAGGTCCAAGTGTGCCCTAGAGCCACCTGTAGTAGAGCCACTGCTCAGTAGTCCCTGGGGGCCCTGTGTGGATAGACCTGGGTGTCATTTCCTTGGAGCGTTTGAGGCCTCCTATACACTTGCATGTGCCAGACACACAGATGTCCATTTACACTTACATATTCACACATAGTTACATGCACACAGGATTCCCAGTGTAACACAATGGCCCAAGAAGGCTTTTGAGATGATCCCAGTGGGGAGCAAGGATGTGATGCAATCTGTGGATACCTAGCTGGGGCACAAGGATTGAACTTTTCTCCCCCAGTTTTGTCTCACATGGCAGAGGCTCAGGGTCCAGAGGTAAGGGGCATTGATCTGACAGTATAGACTCCCTACAGTAGATCTGACTCTATCTTGTCTTACAACCCCTGGCCCTGGGTTCTTCCTGCTAGACCTGCCATCTGTAGCATGAAGTCCCTCCCTCTTCAAGGGCCAGGGAAGTAGAAAGAACAGCAGAACTTCAGGTTCAGAGTAGCCACACTGGGGTTCTAACCCTAAATCTGGTAGAGATCCCTTGAGGCTTGAGCTGACCTTTAGGACTTCTTCAAACCCTGGTTTGAGGAAGGCTTGGGGAGACTTGGTCCCCAGTCCATGTATAGTAACATCTGGAGGCATTTATGGCTGGTCTGTCTGTGAGGAGGTAATGGACAGGGATGCTAAACATTACCCTAGAAAACACAGGCCCACCCACCAGGCCCACACTTAAGCAGTGCTGAAGGTGAGGATCCTGCTCCAACTCTGTGGTTGTTTTTACCAAGTGGTATAAGAAAGAAGTTATGGGAGAGGCTATTTCTCCAGCTCCATGCCTGGGGACTAGCATGGTAGGGATTGGTTCAGATTTGCCCTTGGGCTCTGTAGGAAGACTAGCAGAGCAGTGTCAGCGCCGTGTCTTCACCTTCCATAGACATGGCCCCTCCTCGCACTGGCATCTTCTGCTGACTGACGGTGGGACCAGTTGGCCCAGAGCCTGACAGACAGGGTTCAGCCTTGGCCTAATGCGGCAGGGTGGTGCTGTGGGCACAGCCAACCTCAGATACTGACTAGGCCCAGGGAGCAGAGTAGGGAGTAGACAGGAAGTTCGTTGGCAGTTATTACCTTTGGCATCATCATCTCTACTGGTTTGCTAGGGCTGCTGAATGAAAGCATACGGCTGGACTCCTTGAACGGTAGAAAGTTTCTCAGAACTAGAGGTTGAAAGGCTGAGATCAATATGTCAGCAGGTGTGGTGTTTGATCAGCCTTTCTACTGGACCTCTTGGTGGCTTGATGAAATTTTTCCCTTGGTCTTTACATTGTCTCTCTGTACATATCTGTACCCTAAGCTCCAAATCTTAGGGAAATACCAATCATACTGGCTTAGAGACATCCTCTCAACTTCATCTTTATTTAATCACTTCAACATAGGAATGTAGAGGGGACATGACCTGTAGAGGGCCCATGCTGGCAAAGTCAGGATCTAAAAAGCTGAATCAGGGACATAGGCCCTGAGCCTGGAAGATGGGACTCTCCTTGGAGAAGAGTTGACAGCAGCCCCCAGGTCCAGTCACTGTAACTAGGGGAAGGAGTAAAGGCAGGTAGAGGGAGGCAGTACTGCCTGCACTTAGGCCAAGTCCAGGGGTCAGGTGACAGCAGTGGTTGGAGAATCCAGGTGAGGCCAGCATAAGAGAAGGAGCAATGCACTCTGATGCCCTTCCTGCCCAGGTCAGCCCTCATAGTCTCCTCTCTGTTTTCCTGTGTTCTTGATCCCTTCTGGCTCAGAGCTTCCTTTTCATTCCTTAACTGAGTGTAGTCAATATTTTCTTTATTGGTTTCTGACACAAGGTAAAGTGAGAGGGAAACCTTATAGCTCAGCACCAAACTTCCCATTTCCCAGTGTGTTGAGTCCCAGGTGGCCTTTGGTGGCTTTGCTGGATGGTCTTCTAAATTTCAGAGAGATCATGAGCAAGTGGCTGAGTATGTGCTGGGTTCACATACCTCTCCTTTTACTTCCTTATGGAGCTTCTCTGGGGCTTTGACATTATTTACCTGGGGCTGACTGGTGTGCTTCTCTTCTGCAGAGTGAATTGGATTTGGAAAAGGGCTTGGAGATGAGAAAATGGGTCCTATCTGGAATCCTGGCCAGTGAGGAGACTTACCTGAGCCACCTGGAGGCACTACTACTGGTGAGGAAGGGGCCACATGGTCCCAGGTCAGCTGTGGGAGCCTAGGGACAGCCTGCCCACAGGAGTCATCAAGTCATGCACACCATAGGAAGGTCAGAACATTCCACCTCCTATCAGAACATTCCACCTCCTAAAAGCTGACCTCCCCAAGAGGCAGTAGATACTAACAAGATAACTCCTTGTTCTCCCCCCACTCCATGGGATTTAAAATAAAAGTGAGACAGCACTTAATTTTTTGCTCAAGCCTATAATCCTAGCTACTCTGGAGGCTGAGGTCTCAGTATCTCAGTTTGAAGGCAGCTTGGGCTGAAAAATCTGAGAGACGCTTATCTCCAAATTTTGTCTCCAGCAAAAAATCTGGAACTGAAGGTTATAGTAGTAGAGCATCAACCAGAATGAAAGTGCCAAGCAAGAGTTCAAGGGCCTGAGTTTAAGCCATAGTGTTGGTGCATGCACTGCCCACCCGCGCATGCACACACAGAGAAAAAAAAATAACAGTGAAAGGTTTGGAATATAAGTCAGGGTTGTGAGTTCAGTTCCTGGCACCAAATAGGACACAAAGAAAAGAAAAGCGCACATCACATGCATCTGATAAGTGACAAGCCTTCTTACCTATGTCCTCCTCAGCCCATGAAGCCTCTGAAAGCTGCTGCTACCACCTCCCAGCCTGTGCTGACCAGCCAGCAGATTGAGACCATCTTCTTCAAAGTGCCTGAGCTCTATGAGATCCATAAGGAGTTCTATGACGGACTCTTCCCTCGAGTACAGCAGTGGAGCCACCAGCAGCGAGTGGGCGACCTCTTCCAGAAGCTGGTGAGGAGCTGGTAGTGCCATGGGCACTCATAGCTATAGGTGTGGCTGGTCCAAGGCTAGGCCTGTGAGCCACGGGTTGTATCTGAGGGCCTGAGATGCCAAAGGTTAACTTGCTGAGAGGGAGAAAATAAGAAATATGTTTCTACCCTATCCCAGCTGAGTCCAAGTGGGTCCAGTAAACAGGACATCCTTCTTTCTTTACTTGGCTCTATTCAGTTTTTTCAAGGATTTGTCTTGGGGCTGGGAAGGTGGCTCAGTGGTAGAGCACTTGCCTTGCATGCATGAGGCCCTGGGTTTGATTCCTCAGCACCACATAAGAAAAAAGACAGAAGTGGTGCTGTGGCTCAAGTGGTAGAGCACTAGCCTTGAACTGAAGAGCTGAGGGACAGCGCCCAGGCCCAGAGTTCAAGCCCCATGACCGGACCCCCAAAAAAACAAAATCAAGGATTTGTCTCTATGTGGATTCAGCTGCCCATTTGGTGGCTCCTGTGAACACAATGGTTTTGTCACATAGGATGACAGGACTTGGATGGACCCTGGGCAGAGGAGAATGGAGGTTGGGCATTACCTGGAGAGGCAAGTCTAGGTGGAAGCTGAGCAGAGCTTCATTACACAGTCATTTTCAGGGTCTACCAACCAAAACTGAAAATAATTACATCTGTACTGAATATGTAGAGACTTTCTCTCCTGTGTCATTTCCCCCTGAATACAATGTAACAATACTTACATATTGCTTAAATTGGGTTAGAGATGATTTAAAGTATACAAATTGAGGATAATAGTGCTACTTGTGTTCCAGCTACTTGAAACACTGAGCAGGAGGACTGCTTGAGCCTCTCAGGAGTTCCAGGAGTTGGAGTTGGCTACTATGTTGACAACATAGTAGGACCTATCTCTCAAAACAAAAAAAAAAGGGGTGGGGTGGGGTAGGGGAGAGGTGAAGGAGCCTGAAGGTCTATGACTCACATCTATAATCTTACTAAGGAGATTGAGGCCTGAAGGGTGAGCATTATGTATAAACTCCAGTTCAGAAAAGAAAAAAAGGCACCAGGAATGTATCTCAAGGGTAGAAAGTATGTTTAGCATGTGTGAGGCTGTGGGTTCAATCCCCAGCCCCCCAAATAAAGTATATAGGGGAGAGATGAAGGGGTCCAAGAACCAATCCTTCATGGTTATTGAAGGATAACTATGCTTTATTTCATCTTTACAAGTATATATATTTAGTTTCATGGAACAAACTAAAAAAAAACAAAAAATATTGCATTGGGAGGGGAGACACAGGCAATTAAAAATCTCAAGTAGTAGGAAGATTGCCCTGGGTACTGAAAGAGTCTGAAAAAATAATAACCTGGGTCATTTTCTTGGCCCTCAGCTCCTTCAAGCAGCTGTTCTCAGAGCCTGGAGCTTCTTAAGATATTCACACTGACTTCTTTGAGCCTTGCAGGAATCAGGCTGTGGTCTTGTGGACAGGTTGGAGAAATGCAGGAAAGGGTTGATCTGTAACTGAGGACCTACAAGGAATTCCACATGGACCACCAGACAGCCATATGCTGTGAGGAGGTGTGGCTCCCATGGAACCAGGCTCTGCTCAGATATGGATGGGTAGAAGGTGCACCCAAGGGGCAAGCACAATCTTACGTGCACTAAGGCTGCCCTCAAAGGCAGATACTGGTTTTTGAGGGGTTTTTTTGTTCATCATGGGGCTTGGACTGAGTGCTTCAGCCCTGTTCCTGAGCTTTTGTGGTCAAGGCTAGCATGCTATTAGTCTGAGCCGTAGCTCTACTTCCTGGAGTCTCAACTTTCCTGCCTGGGGCTGGCTTCGAACCTTAATCCTCAGATCTCAGCCTTCTTAGTAGTTAGGATTACACATGTGAGCCACCAGTGCCTGGCTGTTTTTTAAGATACTCCTTAGGAACAAACCAACAAACAACAACAAAAAACATTTTCCTGACTTTAAGGGCTTTAATACTTAAGGACAGATAGTGTTGGACAACAGAATAAAAATTTCTGAAAGGACTCAGTAGGCCACCTATTTGACAAAAGTTTCTTTAGGAACAATATCCACCTCCTCAGATGTGTAAAAACCATCCTCAAGGTGACACAGGATGGGTGTGGCCTGCCAGGAAGTCAGGTCAGAGGCCTCTCTGTCCATCTTTGACCCTAGGGCATGGATGACACTTTTTTTAAACCTATTATTATTATTATTATCTTTAAGTAGTTGTGCAAAGAAGATCCTGTTCTACAAAACAGGTGTCTGACAACATTATGGATGATACCTTTAAAAAGTGACCAGAATTCAAACAGTTCTCTTAGAGAACCACAGGGGAAAAAAAGAGAGAGAAAATGTTATTGTTATTATTTTACCTGTGGGCTGCAAAAGTGAAGCAGGTGGGCGAGGCTGTAAGCCCCACAAGTTTTCCATACTGCTCCAGTCCTTAAGGTCCAATAAATGTATTAAGATTAAAGGATCAATGTCTAATAAACTACCGGTAGCAGCAGAGCATAAATGTGCTCTTCTTGACATTCTGCTACTGGCACCCACATAGCCATGGGTACTACCTGCAAAAGAAATAAAGATGTAGAAAGTATATTGTATATGCTTGCACAAATTTAAGCATACATAAATGAAAAAAGGGTTAACACTTGACTAGTGGTAGTTTACATAGGAATTCATGTTCATGATGAGACACACAAAGGAAAAAGGTTGCCAGACACCAGCACAGTGATTGAGCTGTAACTTCATTAGTATACAGAACCCAAGAGCATGATCAAATCTATCTAGAATATATACAGAATATATATTACAGAAATATATTACAGAAAGCAGTTAGCTATTTGCTGCTTCTTACTATTCTTATAGACCACTATACTTTAGCTAAACCTTGTCCTTTGTGCTAACGATCCTATTCCTGAATAGACATCAATGGCTTTACCATCTATTTCAGGTTCTCTCTTTCAGAGCTAGTATCACTACCATTTTGTGTATCTATATATGTATATGTAAGTATGTCATATACAGAAACATACTGCCTAATGAGTATTCACAAAGCAAATCTATGTAGATGAAGATATGAGGGAATATAGGTGGAATGGGAATATGATAGAATATGTAGAACAAATATATTTGTTCACAGTGTACTGTGTACATGTATGGAAATATCACAATAAAACCCTTCTCGTATTACAAATGTATGTTAACTCAAAAACAAAATTCTATTTGGTTTTAAACTAGTCTTTCTAAAAGATTATACTATTTGAGCTGTCTATAGAGTCTATCATACTTCAGTTAAGAAAATCAACACAAGGAAAGGGTACACCCAAGGAAGGTGAAGAAGAGAAGAGGGGCAGGTAACTGAAGGGAGAGAAGGGGGAGGAATGCAGTCAAGAATTCATTGTGCATATCCCAAAATTAAGTAATGGAAGGGATGGGTTGAAGAGGAGTGAGAATATTTAAGGGGGCTGAGAATGTTGAAAAGGTGACACTGATCAAGATGCATTATATTCATAAACTGCATTGTTGTATGGTACCTCCTTTGTATAACTACTTAAATAGTTTTAAAAAATAAAGTCTTATCTCATGGATCCTAAAATTGCTCGGTAAGGTTAATCCCCAGAACTTTCTAACGTTAAAAACAGATTGGTTTTGCTTGTCTAGAATTTATAAAAATGTAGTTAACATTATACTCTGCTTCTTGTTCAATATTACACCTATGAGACTCATCTATATTGCTTTATATAGCAACCGCTGGTTCATCTTCATTGTTATAGTAAATAATAAAATGTCATCATAACAAAAAAAAAAAAAAGGTGACCAGAAGCCAGGCATCGGTGGCTCACACCTGTAATCCTAATTACCCAGGAGGCTAAGATCTGAGGATCACAGTTCAAAGCCAGCCCAGGCAGGAAAGTCCATGAGATTTTTCTCCAATAAACTACTCAAAAAAACCAGAAGTGACACTCTAGCTCAAGTGGTAGAGCACTTACCTTGAGTGAAAGAAGCTCTGAGACAGCATCTAGGCCCAGAGTTCAAGTCCCTGGGACTTTGGGGGGGTAAAGGGGAGTGACCAGAGCTGGATATGGTGATACATACATGCAATCTCAGCACTGGAGAGGCTGAGGACGAAGATTATGAGTTAGGTGGTCAGCCTGAACTATAAAGTGAGACCTTGTCTCAAAGAAAAAAAAAAGATGGAAAAAGGATTTAAGTACACACCTAACCATGATACAGATAGAGTATAATTTGTCCAAGAGGGAGCACTTGTGAAAGAGCCCAGGGATAGAGGAGCAATTCTCTCTTTTCTTTTTTCTTGCTAGTCCTAGGGCTTGAACTCAGGCCATGGGCACTGACCCTGAGCTTCTTTTGCTCAAGGCTACTACTCTACCACTTTGAGCCATAGTAACACTTCCAGCTTTTTCTGTTTATGTGGTACTGAGGAATCAGACCCAGGGCTTCATGTATACTAGGCAAGCACTCTACCACTGAGCCACATTCCTAGCCCCAATAAAACAGTTCTCTAGCAGAAGCTGTAGAATCTGTGTTTATCTTCCAGTATGTATGTTTTTTTTTTTCTTTTAGTCAGTTGTGGGGCTTGAACGCAGGGCCTGAGCTATGTCCTTGAGCTCTACCACTTTGAGCCACAGCGCCACTTCTGGTTTTTGAGTGGGTAATTGGAGATAAGACTCTCAATGGAGACTTTTCTGCCTGGGCTAGCTAGCATTACAGGCATAAGCCACTGACTGCCCTGCCCAGCATATAAGATTCTGTGATGTGTGAAAAGACCTACTACCAGGTCAAAAGTGAAGAGCCAGGAGATTTCGAGTAAGGGTCTCAATGTCAGAGCTACCCATTGCAGAGGTTTGCCCCTCTGTCCTGGAACAATCACTAGAAAGCACTTGCCCTGATGTGTTTCTGAAGACAGCTGATCATGACTCTAGGATTGCCTAGGCCTTCTGCACACACGCTCTTTTCCCCAGACCATTCTCTCTCCCACAGGACTCAAGTCCTTTAGGCGCAAGGAATGGCCTCAGGATGTCCCTTCTACATGTACAGAATGTAGGGTTCCCTTGTGCCTCCTGGTCTGTCCATGTTAGTGCTCACTCTGGCCTCTCCTTGGCTTATTTCTGGTTTAAAGAGGCCAGAGTGTTCTACTCTGGGGTGTGTCTTTCCTGTTGGCAACTGCTGGAGTTCCTGCTGCCTGGACAGGAGACATACACTGGACTCAAGGTTAGCGTTAAGGCCTGACAAATGGACATGGCACTAGTTTGCTCAGATTCTTTCCTGTCTTCTTTCCCCATGACCAAAGTGTAGGACTACATTCCTAACAATGCTTCCATCTTCAGAGTACCTCTGTCATTTCTCTGTGTACTGTGTCAATAGTTCTAAAACTTTTGGATTGGACTCAACCAACAGCTCTCCAAAGAAACAGAATAGTGTTATTGGAAAAAACCTACAACTAGCACTCTCCCTATAATAACATTCCAAAATCACTTGGAAACTTTATTTAATAATCAGTGAACATTGGGACTTAAGTTTGGAAAGTTTCCTCTGGTTTTTCCTAGTGTCCTTGAGCTACCTTTGTGCAGCAGATAGACTGAGGAGGCAGCTGGGGTGTTTGGGAAGTTTGTCCCCAGTCAGTGTGTTCTGAGTATATCTTTATCCTGGGCTGAATGCTGGGGTCTCCACAAGGACAGACTCATCCCTTAGCAAGTTTGGGCAGTACTCTTAGAGGTGCTCCAGCTAGGAAAGTTCTAGGAGCCAAGGAACATGGTGTGCCCTCTTTCTGCTTTGATACCTTATCACCAGCCTGGGGCTGGTAAGCCATGTATGGTAACACAGACTTAACCACACCCTCTTTACTGCCCTTCTTCCGGGGCTATACTGGCTCTCTTCTATTGCATGGAATTTTGTTTCTGGATGAAAATTTACATAGCTTTGTTTTTGGAGGGTTTTGTTTTGTTTCTCTGTTTTTTTTTTCTTGTATGTGTATGTATTTGTCTTTCTGATCATTTCAGAAAGAGTTGCAAAACTACAAAGAACTTTTGTTTATCCTTCACCCACATACACTGATTATAAATTTTGTGTTTTATATACACACACACACACACACACACACTCACACACACTTTATAGTTTGAGATAAGTTGCAGACATCTGTCCTTTTACCCCTAAATACTTCATTGTGTTTTTGCTAAGAACAAGGACATTTTCTGCCATAATCCACAGTATAATTTATCATATTTAGGAGATCTCACATTGATAGGACACTATTACTCAATATGCTGTTCCTATGCAAATTTCCCCCAAGTTAGTGATCGTGTTCTTTATAGCCATCTTTACTCTGTGACTCAGGAGTCTATCCAAAGTTTCATGATGTACTTAGTTGTCATGTCTCTTTGGGCTCTCTTGATCTGTACCAATTTCTTAGACTTGACTTGCCTTCCATGACTGACATTTTTGAAGGATACAAGCTGGTTTGAGTCTGTCAGATATTTCTTCAGGAACCAATTCTGGTTGTGCATTTGCATTTCTCTTTTCTCTTTCTTTTTTTTTTTTTTTGTGCCAGTGTTGGGCTTGAACTCAAAGTCTAGGCACTGTTCCTAAACTTTATTGCTCAAGGCTAATGCTTTACCACTTGAGCCATAGCTCTACTTACAACTTTTTTGGGGGGTAGTTAATTGAAGGTGAGAGTCCTACAGATTTTCCTGTTCAGTCTGGCTTCAAAGCACAATCCTAGCTTTCTGAATAGCTAGGGTTACAGGTAGGAGCCTCAGGCACTGGGGAAGTTCTGTATTTCTGGTGCAGAGCAGTACTATGGCAGTAGGCTGTGTCCTTGGTGCATCATATCCAGTATCTAGAGGCATTGGCTCTCCATTTGTGCAGGATCATACAGCTCTTTTTTTGGTTTTTTTTTCTAAGCTAAAAGTGTGAGAATTCACTGCTTAGAATATCTCACACTAGCCGGGCGCTGGTGGCTCACACTTGTAATCCTAGCTACTCAGGAGGCTGAGATCTGAGGATCGTGGTTCAAAGCCAGCCCGGGCAGGAGAGACCATGAGACTCCTATCTCCAATAAACCACCAGAAAACCGGAAGTGGCGCTGTAGCTCAAGTGGTAGAGCGCTCGCCTTGAGCTGAAGAGCTGAGGAACAGTGCCCAGGCGCAGAGTTCAAGCCCCACAACCTACCAAAAAAAAAAGAATATCTCACACTAGGAAGAGGTGACCTGTTTGTTTAAACAGGAGAGGAGAAGTCATGAAAGGGTCTTTATTTTGACACCCTCCAGATCTCTTACCATCTCTTCTTCTGAGAAGGTGTCCTGATCCTCAAGCCAGGTCTTGGTTTGGTGAGAGGCACTTACTTGGTAACTAAACAAGGAGGGAGGAGGAAAAGAAGTAAATATTTTGGATCTCATCATTGTAATGATGAGAAAACCCGGATGCAAAGAGGAAGTAGCTTCTCTGGGATTGTCAGCATGGCAGAGTTCAAGCAGGGCATCTTTTGGCCACTGCTATTACCCAGGCACTTGTGGCTCTCTGTGCAGTCTCTACTGGGAACATAGCCAGAAGATTAGGTCTGGCTTACCCAGAATCTGGGATTATCATCTGCAGAAACACAAAATTCAATATAAATGCAAATATGTGTGGAAATGAAATTTAGGTTAGACACAGTACAAACTCTAGGAACAGCAAATGCCTCCAGCTTCCAGCTCTAAATCAGCTGCTATAGGTGTCTCTGATCTGGCCACCAGGTTAACTCCCACCTGGGTTTCCTAGTCCTAGATGAGGCAAGAATTTGTTTCCTCCTTGCTGTCTGTAAAGGTGATATAGGAGCTAAAGTTGACCATGGTGATTACACATACCCATCTACTCCCCCCATGGAAGTCATGGTGCAGTTGAATGTGTGTTTAAGTACAAGGCTTAGTGAGGGAACTCTGTGTTAATGTCTTTGGTGTAATAATTGACAGGCTTTTGCCTCTCACTTTAGAGTTGGCAGGTCTTGCACCTGCCATGTGTGCAGCATGATACCTGGACACCCCTACCAGATCTGGGATGAACTTGAGTCTGGGAAGCAGGAGCCCCTGAACAACCAGACTATGTGCTCTGAGGGCATTAGACATGTCAGAGTAGAATGCAATAGGCCTAAGGGTCTACTGACCTCCATGTCCAGGAGGGCCTTCTGCAGTCAGAATGAGAAAGTTCTGCTCAAGCTTTCTGCACAGAGATGCTTCCTTTCTTCCTCACTACCTCAAACTTCAGCTGCTGCTCATAGCACCCTTTTAGTAAAATGAGGTGGGAGGAATAAGCAGCTCTGGAAAGGTGCCATTACCTGCACAGAGCTCTGAGTCACTTCTCAACATGTCATTGTAGGAGCAGGAAGTATGCTTAATGTGTGGGGAGGAGGAAGCAGGTAGGAGGGATTGGCATAGAGAGGCTGAGGTCTATGTAACCCTGTATGTTCCTATGGTTTCTCTAGAGCTGTACACAGGATCCCAGTCCTCATAAAGATAGAGAGTAACAGCATCTGTCCCACACTTTCTTCCTTTCTCCCTTCAGGCCAGCCAGCTGGGTGTATACCGAGCCTTTGTGGACAACTACGGGGTTGCCATGGAAACAGCTGAGAAGTGTTGCCAGGCCAATGCTCAGTTTGCAGAAATCTCTGAGGTAACGGATACTTTGACATTGTGCAGACCAGTCAGCACCACTGACTTCACCTGTGTTCTGAACCACTTCCCACAGTGGATTATGGAATGGTTGTTAGTAGAACCTGGCATGAAAGAACAAAGTACACCAAACTCAAGTCTAGTTATGAACCCTAGAACTGATTCAGATCTACTCCTGTCGTCTTCATCAGTTCTAGGTCTGGGACACTGTTGTGATTAGACAGGAGTAGCCCTCAGAATGTCCTACCTCCTCAAAAGCTAAGGGTAGACTCTTATCTTAGTCTACTTTATGTTGCTATGTTACCCAGAAACTGGGTAATTTATAAAGAATATATGATGTGACTTTGTTGCTTTATAACATGACAAGGCATCCTGTGGTGGGACATAGCAAGCAAGCTAGTTCAGGTCTCTCTACTGCTTAAAGCCACTAATGCCATCATGGAGGCCCCAGCCTCATGGCCTCATCTAAGCCTAATCTCCCAAATACCCATCTTCAATACCATCATCATGGGCATTAGGAGATTGTTTCCAACACATGAATTTTTAGAGGGTACACTCAAAGCCCAGCAACAATGTTCCGTGGACACTCTCTTATGCTATCTGCCTGTAGTCAGTAGAGTCTGTAATTTTGCCCTTATATCTCTTGTACATCTTGGAGCTTACTCTGTACCTTGTTGCTGGAGACAGAGCAACTGCTCTGTTCTTTTTCTAATCTACCAGTGATCTTGAAAGCACAAGGAAGTGAGGGCATTGTTGCCTCTGTAGACCTATGCCAGGAAGAAAGCTTCTCCTTATTTGCATTTAGCCCCTGGAGGACTGAAACCTCAACCCACAGAGTATTGTTAGCCTCTGGAGCCTTGAATGAGCCCCTCAGATACAGAGAAGATGAATACGCCATCCAGGGCCAAGAGCTGACCCAGGACCAGAATTCAGCAAAACTCCTGGGTCTCTGTGTCTCCAAATGTATTCCTCCTGCTGTTCTGTGTCCTGTCTGCAGTGCTGATAGGAACCATGTGACATTTCAGGGGGGTGGGGGTTGTCTGTTGTCACTCTTGCCATTGGATGGGTCCCACTCCCTGGAGCTATGACTTCTGACTTGCTTCTTTTTCACCTAACAAGAATTCTTGATAGGAAGACCTCTGTTTAAGAAAGGAAGCATTGCGGCTGGTACAGTGGCTCAGTGGTAGAGTGCTTGCCTTCACGTACAGGCCCTGAGTTTGATTCCTCAGCATCACATAAGCAGAAAAAAACCGGAAGTGGCGCTGTGGCTCAAGTGTTAGAGTGCTAGCCTTGAGCTGAAGAACTGAGGGACAGAGCCCAGCCCCAGATTTCAGGCCCCACAATTGACAAAAACAAAAAAAGCCAGGCACCAGTGGCTCATGCCTGTAATCCTAGCTACTCAGGAGGCTGAGATCTGAGGCTCACAATTCAAAGCCAGCCCAGGTAGGAAAGTTCGTGAGACTCTTATCTTTAGTAAATCATTAGAGAACCAGAAGTGGCACTATGGCTCAAGTGCTAGAGCACTCGCCTTGAGCTAAAGAGCACAGGGACAGCATCCAGACTCAGAGTTTAAGCCCCATGACTGACCAAAAAAAAAGTATTAGAAAGAGAAATAGAAAGTAGAAATACATAGTGGGGCCAGTTTCTTTTGCTGAGAAACAACCTTTGACTAACACACCTGGGCTTTGTTCCAGAGACACGTTGCTATTTCATGACTTGGCATTGGGGACTTGGCACTAATTGCCTCCCATGGTGCTATTTTGTGTCATGCTGCTCTTCCTGAGCCCATAGGGTGCCCACCAGCCATATCATCCCCTGGAAATTCTCTTTGTTCTCTTTCTTTCATTGAGTTAACTCCCATACCCTTATCAGCTGAATTCTGACTGGTTTCTGATCTTTTGTTTGTTTATCTTTGTACTAGTACTGGGGCTTACACTCTGAACCTCACATTCTTGCTTGGCTCTTTCTATTCAAGGCTGGCTGGCACTCTGCCACTTGAACTATGCCTTAAGTCCTGACTTTTTGCTGTTAGTTGAAGTCTCACAGACTTATGCCTGGATTGGCTTTGAAAACAGGATCCTCAGATTGCAGCCTCCTGAGTAGCTAGGATGGTAGGCGTGAGCCATTGGCACCTGACTAACCTGGTCCTTTTAAAGAACAGGTGGCAAGGTTTAAGTTGACTTGGACAGGTTTCTACAGAGAAAGGAGGAAATCATGAGGGGGAAGATACCAGATTGCTACCTTGGTTGGAAATTTGAGCCAAGGCTGCAACCCAGAGATGAGCTCAGAATATATCAGAAGTGAGCCTTCTGTGACATTTTGAGGTTCTTTTACCATCAGAACATCTGCAGGGTTGGCAGAATGACTGAAGTATAAAATACCTACTTAGCAAGCCCTGAGTTTAAACCCTAGTACCACCACACACACACATACACCAATAACAATATCTATGCTGGTTCTCTATCCAGGAGAGTAAATGCAGCTGTCAGAAGAGCAAAATCAAGCTCAAGGACAAGGAAGCAGGAGGCTATGTGGTAGTGGTAGGGACTGGGTCAGAAGTCCCAGAGATCAATACTTAGGAGTCAATACTCTGGCATGGGGCTCATGAATTGCCTCAAGAACCAGAAGTAAGTAGTGATTTTCCACCTTCTCCCCAGACCAGCAGTCCTGTGAGATGGGTGTGAGGCAGTGTCCACTTCGCATGAAGTGCCTAGGCTGGCTTCTGTGAGATGCCAGCTCTTCAGGTGATAAATAAATGAAAAGAGCCTCCACAGCCAAGCAAGTTTGTAAAATGCAGGTTAATCCAAACTCACTGAGGCTGGGCATCCCAGAACTTGTGTCTTGCACTGTCTAGTGACATGTGGGATGTGGATCACCTCCCAGCTCCCATGAGCTCAGCACCTGGTTTCTGCCTTTAGTCTCTTGTGTAGCTCTCCCACCCACTCACACCCTTTAGGAACTGCTGAGTTAGACACAGGGAAGAACAGTCACTTTGAGAGATGTTAATTTTTAAACTCTTGGCTAAAAGATACCAAAGTACATGATTATCTTTGGCCCTGTGAGCTGAAAGACACCATCATTCAATTCTAAGAAGTTTTTTACAGCATTAGATGGCAGGGCATTATCAGGCTACTTCTTGTTCGTAAGATAGGTGTGCATTTGTTGCGTAGAAACCTTGTACTGGGGGCCTCCTTACAACTGCTTCCCAGAGATAACTTTAGCTATGTCTTCAATGTATTTATGCTGCAACATGGTCTGTCCACTAACAAACCCTTCCCTCACCGTGGGAATCTTAGCACCTTGTTTTATAGCAAGCATATTTTAGCAAGCATATTTGTATTTCCATTCCACACTGTAGGGTGGGGTCAGATCCAGCATTGGTCTAACTACTGACAGGATCCCTTGACTGCTGTTACAGGCGAGTGCTCTTGTGATTCACCAGCTGCCCACATGCTGTTGAACCACTCCAAGAAAGAATTTGCCTGTTTTCAAGATTCTCCATGTCAGTTGTTCTTAACCAGAGATGATTTCATCCCCAAGGGACATTGCCAAGGGACATTTGGCAATGCCTGCAAACAATTTTTGTTTCCCTGACAGGAGGTTAAGGATATTACTGCACCTGAAGGTGGAGGCCAAGGGTGCTGCTCAGCATCTTGCAGTGCATGGAGCAGCAGCTCATGACAAGCATTTTCTGACACCAGATGTCAACATGTTGTTCTAATGGAAGCATTCAAGGCTTCTTTTGTGCTTGTCTATGGGTGGGTCCCTGCTCAGCAGCTCAGATGCCCCCTGAGATTTGCTGCATCTGGGGTACTTGGTGGGGAAAGAAGGCAGTGTTTCTGCTTATGGTTCCTGACTGCAACTTCTTGCCACATCAAAGTTTCTTCAATTGTCTCATGTGAGTGTGTATTTTTCTCTCTGCAGAACCTGAAAGCCAGAAGCAACAAGGATGCCAAGGACCCAACGACCAAGAACTCTTTGGAAAGTGAGTTCTCTGTGCCTTTGTGTTTAAGTGTGGGGGTGGAGGTGCTGTCAGCACCACGCAGCAGGCAGGCAGTCACCCTGCTTTTTCCAAGTACCTTCATCTCTCCTTGCCTGTCTCTCTACAGACCTGCTCTACAAGCCTGTGGACAGGGTGACAAGAAGCACGCTGGTCCTCCACGTGAGTCACCTCCTAGGTGATACAGACATTCTCCCTGAGCAGGCAGGGCCTTCTCTGGGGCTCTGGTTTCTCCTATACTGGGGGTGCCCTGAGTTCAGAAGCTCTGACAGAGGATCTTGTCTGATGCCCTGAGATACTGTAGTCTGTGCCCTGGCCTGTAGTTTGTCCAGGTATCAGGCATGCATGTTGTCAAGCTGTGTATCATGATAGGGATAAGATGGAGCTGCTTGAGTGCACTGAAGCTGAGGGGCTACCCTGTCACTGCCAACCCAGGTGCTTCTTCATGCCTAGGCTCTCTTTGCAGATGAGACTTGGGATCTCAAGGGGATTTTGTTTCTCAGAAGCACCAGGGAGCTGCTGACCTTGGGCAGGAATGACTTACATTCCTAGCTGAGAAAGTGTCAATATTTCTATCTGGCTTCTAAAAAGTCCTTGGCTTTCATCTAAAGGAGGAGTCAAAGGTTTTTCTCCTGACCTTGTACAAATCATTGGTTCTGGGCCAGGACTGATTCTACCCTGAGAGACATGCAACAATGTCTTGCAGACATACTTTGTTGTCACAGGTACAATGAGGGCAGTATGCTATGAGCATCCTGTGTGTACTGTGAACAGGCCAGGGACAATACTAAATATCCTATGCTGCACAAGACAGTCCCTCTGCCCCTCCTCACCATAACAGAATCATCTGACCCAAAATGTCAGTAACACCAAGGTATAGAAACCCCACCCTGAATCCCCTCTTGGCCATGTGCAAATAGCATGAGTGTGTTGGCACATGTTGTGGGACCAGGGCCTGCTTCCTGAGAGCATGCTGGCCATGCGTGGGAAGCCAGCAGCTCTGGGTTATGCTCAGTGTGGTTTACACACAGTGGTTTGTACCAGTCTTCCTCTCTAACTCTGGTCTTTCTACCTGGGATAGGACTTGCTGAAGCACACTCCCTCCAGCCACCCTGACCATCCCCTGCTGCAGGATGCCCTCCGCATCTCTCAGAACTTCCTATCCAGCATCAATGAGGAGATCACACCCCGCCGGCAGTCCATGACAGTGAAGAAGGGAGAGGTAAGTGTGACTGCTGGGGGATACAGGACATTTTCAGTCTCAGACCTGGATCCTTCTCTAGTCCTCTGTAGACAGTTCAGCCTAACACAGGAAACACAGGCCCTTGAGATTCTGTAACCCTGGTTGGGTTCAACCCAGTCTGAATGAGGTATCAGAGTTGCCTTATAGGAGTAACTGCATGCCTCATGCCCACTAGACAGTGTCTCCACCTCATAGCTACCTGTTTTTCCACTGTTTCTGTTGAGTTCCATCCAGAAAGAGATAGCACTTTGCCTGGAATCTTCTACTTCCTCCTGGGTAGTCTTTCATTGAAAAACTGAACACCAAGTTTAAGAATTTAAGAAGGGCCGGGTGTCAGTGTTTCACACCTATAATCCTAGCTACTCAGGAGACTGAGATCTGAGGATCGCAGTTCAAAGCCAGCCTGGGCAGGAAAGTAGTGAGACTCTTATCTCCAATGAACCACCAGAAAACCGGAAGTGGCGCTGTGATTCAAGTGGTAGAGTGCTCGCCTTGAGCTGAATAGCTCAGCACAGTGCCCATACCCAGAGTTCAAGCCCCATGACCAACCAAAAAAAGAATTAGGTGAAGAAAGGGAGGGGCCCATGTTTGTATTTGATATATGCAAATGGTTGAAGAAGTTGATGTCTTCAGCCTGTAAATTTTCTTTCCCTCGCCCTGTAGCAGCTACTCAACAGTCATTCTCCTTTTATGCATGTCATCAATAAGCAGGCATTGGTCTGCACCTTTGCCACCTTAGATCCTCCCTGAAAGAGGCCCTGTGTATTGCTAAGCAGATGCCTTTTCAGCCTCTTATTAAGTATAGCATCTATTAAGTACAAAATTCAATTAAGCATATCTGAGAAGCATAGGCCAGGAACTGGTGTCCGTGTGAGCATCCTTTGTTAGAAGCTGTGTGAAAGTGACAGGAGCTGACCTCTCGGCCTCTGGAGTTTTATGCAGGAACAGGAGCTGTGATGTCTAGGCAGAACATGACCCCAACTATACTCACCTCTGAGAACCACTTTCTCCTCTTCTGGCTCATGTGCCATGTGTGCACTGCTGAGATAATGCCAGTGCAGACCTGCCCAATCAATACACAAGGTTTCTTTCCCTCTCACCTGCTGTCAGCCCTGTGTTCCTCCGCTTGCTTCTCTGGGTTTGGTGGTTTTTCCTGGTGGGCTTGGTCTGGGAAGGGCTGAGTAGATGACAGAGCTTTTTACTGTATTTATTTGACAGGCTTCTCCAGCCATAGAACAAGGAAGATTCAGGTCCAATCCCAGTATTATGAGGAATGACTCATCAAGAGGCTTGGAGCTTACCGCTTTACCTTTTGGGGTTGTTACAGCAGGATAGGACGCAGCCCCTCCTCCCTGAGCACCTGGGCCCTCATGGGCAATGATTTATGGAAAGAATAGCATGTAGCAACACTCCTAGGCCTCTGTATTGGCTCCTTGGCCATTTCTGAGCCCATTGAAGGCAGAAATGGGTCCCCAGCACTTCCCATAGGCAGATATTGACCAGGGCAGAAGCTTTCCACCTGACTTTCTAATGGCTAGCACCTAGGGGACATGGAAATCAGATTTTGTCTCCTGAGCAACAGAGGGCCTTGATCCTCCATTTCTCCCTTGGCCCTTGGACCAACAAGAGAAAGCAGTACTCTGGCCTCTTCACCAGCAATCCACCTGATTTAGCTGTTGGAGTTTTATCTGCTAGGACTTTGTACTGGGTTGGTTCTTGCCAGGCTCACCTTTCTTTCCAGGGACTTCTGCTCTTTCTCTTCTGTTAACTGTTCCTTTATGAGAACTTTGACTGCCAGGGAGGCAAGGGTATGAGCTCTTCTCCCCTAGGCCCTTTGATACATTGCTGAGTCTGCCTCTATGTCTCTGCCACCATCTCTCTGGAGAGAAATAGTTGAATTATCAGAATTCAGCTAGGAAATGGAAGAATTTAGAAAAATGAGATGTTGCTTAGGAGTTGGCAGCCACATCCTCATCTTTCCTGATTCTGAGCCATCATTGCCTAGGTCTTCAGGTTACCAAGCAGAAAGTACCTATAGGTCAGGTACTTTTTTTTTTTTTTTTTGTCGATTGTAGGGCCTGAACTCTGGGCCTGGGCACTGTCCCTCAGCTCTTCAGCTCAAGGCTGGTGCTTTATCACTTGAGCCACAGCGCCACTTCAGCTTTTTCTGCTTATGTGGTGCTGAGGAATCAAACCCAGGGCCTCATGCATGCAAGGCAAGCACTCTACCACTGAGCCACCTTCTCAGCCCTGAGGTCAGGTACTTTATCAGGGCAAAGACCAAGCGCTCTTTCAAGCATCTAGCCCTGACTGGACACTAGGGATTGCTTAGGTTCCTCAACTACCAAAGGAAGAGAAGACTTGGTATCCCTGAAATGTAATTCTGACTCACACCCTTCATTTAGCACTGTCCTTTAATACTTCAGCAGTGACTAAGCCATGGAGGTAGATAACCACTCCCATGCTCCCTGATCCCTAGCCATGATGTAGACATTATTAATCAATCATGAAGTCCAAGCTTACAAGTCCTCAGTAGCCTTCCTGGCTGCCCAACAGTTGTACAATCCATGTTATATAGAGAAATGAAGCCAAGGGGCTAGGAAGGTAGCTCAGTGGTAGAGTGTTTGCCTTGCATGCATGAGGCCCTGGGTTCGATTCCTCAGCACCACATAATCAGGAAGTGATAGAGCGCTAACCTTGAGCTGAAGAGCTGAGGGACAGCACCCAGGCCCAGAGTTCAGGACCTACAACCGACAAAAGAAGGAAGGAAGAAAGGAAGCCAAATGGGCTCTTCTTCAACCCAGGTTTGATCCTTCCCCACTACCTATTTGTGGTATTAATTTGGGGGCATCCCTTTCTTTTTTTTTAAACTTGAGCATCTGTGCTCTCTGAAGATAGTGACTTAGCCTACTACCTTTTCTTATGGGACTTAAAGGTTTTTCTTGGCCTGTAAGGGACAGTATGAAGGTAAGGGATGTGATTTCCCTGCATTGGTACCTTCTGCTGAAAATAGCAGAGGATATTTTACACATTACCAGCAGGAAGATAATCCACACCACTCCCCACCCCAAGTGGGAGCTATTGGTTGCTTCCTGTAGAATTTGTAACTGAGGAGGACCTGAGGTTTAGAAATGCCTAGTGGTTTAGACCTTAGGCCAGTCTTTTATTTGGTATATCACTGAGTAGCAAAGTTGCCAAAGAGAAAAAGGAGCTGTGCCTTTTAAGTTCTCATGATGAATATAGAGTATCTATCTTTCTTTTTTAGGTGAGGAAACTGGCTCAGAGAGGTTAAATGGTTTGCCTGTGGTCACACAGCCACTAAGAAACTAAGCCAAGATGTAAGGCAGATGTCCTAGCCCATGAGTATTAGACTTCAGCTTTCTGGACCCCATGAACCATCAGAGCTTACCTACTCTATTTCCTATCTCTGCTTTGCCTGGGGTAGGTGGAGTTAATACAGTGAAATGATAGTAAGCCTTTCAGCTTCATACTCCTCCCTATCTGAGGTACTGTTTGGAGCACCATCCTCTGCTCCTGCCAGGGGCATGTCCAAGTGGGATTCTCTTTGTAGCTTCCCTGCCTGTCTGGTAGAGAGAGGGAGGAGTCCTAACAGCATAGACATAAGGCCCACTGCCACCAGCATAGCCTCAGTGAGTTGGGGCATCATGGAGAGACCCAGATATGAACCCTGTGGGATCAACAGCCCCAGTCTTGGCCACCAGTGTGGTTCCTATAATCTCTTCATCCTTTTGGCTCCAGCGCCTATGCCCTTTTGGAAGTGACTGGGCAACATTCCAAGTGTCTCTCTGACTCAGAGCAGGGGCCAGAGCTGCCCTAGCTGGCGAGCATCCTGACCCCAGAACACCCAGTGTCTGTGAGCAACAGGAACCACTCGGGGGGGTTGGGAGGGAAACCAATTCAGCCTTCAGAAGGAAGGATCCTGCAGGCAGGTTTTCCTTCTAGGCCCAGATCCTGTGGGCTGGTGGGTGGGTGCTCATTTGTTTAGCTGAATTAACTTCACAGTTAGATGACTGATTTCTGCTGCTGGGTAATTTCCTTCACGTGGTTGCCTGTCTGTCTGCTTTGAGCTCTGCACCTCGTGCTGCTTATGCTTGGAAACGTGTGTGGGGGATAATACAGCCTCTGATGCTGGTTTTCTGCCTATTATCTCTGAGCACACCCCCCCCCACACACACCCGCCCAGAGTAAGCAGGGAGACAGTAGGCCTGGCAGGTACTGCAGTTGGCAACATCACTATAAACTGAGGCACTGAGGATCAGGGAGAGAAATGGAGGCAGTGTGTGTGTGAGTGTGTGTGTGTGTGTGTGTGTGTGTGTGTGTACACGTGCACACATGCACGTGCGTGCGTGCGTGCCAGCATGCTTACGCATGAGCATATGCCAGTTCTGGGTCTTGAACTCAGGGTCTTAGTGCTATTTTTGAGCTTTTTTGCTCAAGGTTTGTGTTCTACCACTTGAGCCACAGCTCCACTTCAGCTTTTTGGTGGTTAATTGGAGATGAGACTCCTGGACTTACTTGCCCATGATGGCTTTGATCTGAGATCATTAGATCTTAGCTTCCTGAGTAGCTAGGATTACAGGCATAAGCCACTGGCACCTAGGTAAAACAGACTTTGCAACTGATAATTAAAAAGAGTTGGAGACTTCAATATGGTGGTTCATGTAATGTCAGCTACTCTGGAGAGACTTCAGGAAGATGGCAATTTGAGGCCAACCAGGGCAAAAAAAAAAAAAAGTGAGAAACCATCCCAGCTAATATAGTTGAGTGTGGTGGTTCACAGCTGTAATCACAACTACTTAAAGGCTATTTGTTGGAAGATCACAATCTTGAGGCTGGCTTCAGACAGAAATGTGCAACTCTACCTGAATATTCAAGCAAAAAAAGGGGGAATAGCAGTATGGCTTAAGAGGTGGAACATCCATTTAGCTAGCAGGGAGTTCAGACACCAGTACTGCTAA